AACCTGCGACATGCGACACGGTAGAAAAATTATCTTCTTCTTACGACGCCGTCTCCTTTCGAAGGTTGGCGATTCAAATAGCTAACGTCATTCTAGATACAGCCATATGAAATATGTCGATTGATGAGCAACCAAACCGTCTACGAATGTCCTTTAGCGAGGAATTCTGGCGTCTGCCGATATATCTTTTGCCCTGGACTTTGCATTCAATTATTAATCTGAGAAGTTCATACATTTACCCCTCGTTATGTGGCCTATGTAGCGTGTTTTCCTTTCTTTGATGGTAAGCATGAGTTCTTTCTGTTTTTTCATTGGATTAAGAACCTCCATATTTGAAACTCTTTGGACTCATGATATTCTTAATATACGGCAGTGAAATATACATTTCAAGAAGGCATCCTGGTTTTCTAACGATATAACCGGAGTCCAACTCTCCACACCGTACAACAGGAGAACTGAAAGAGTAGCATCCCCATGTGTATTAAACGTAAGCTCAAATCAAATCAATGAAAAGTGATTATAGGTAACCAGAATTTCTGTATATGGAAAACCAACAACTGATTTGTTGAATAAAGCCTAAATGGTCAAAGTGCAGTACACGCACCGGAAAACCTAGGGATATTGAATTTTATCCAGGCATCGTTATTAATTTATTATTTGCATTTCGATATATAATAAAATTAAAACAAGCTACAAATGGTTTACAGGACCCGTATTGGAAAATAAAATACTTCGAATTTTTTTCAAATTTACCTTGATTTTGTAGAAATGAAAACATTTGTGGGTCAAAGAAAAATCAAACCATTTTACTCTTACAATAAGGTATAATACCTCCTCTACTGTTCATTATAGCCCTAAATCGTCTCTCGATGCTCCTGATCAGGTTTGTCGATCTCTTCTTGATTTACAGCTTGTCACGCTGCATTCACGGCCAGAACCAGATCCCTACGGGTTACACGAGGCATACCCATTCTCAGAATTCTTCTTTGGACCGCGTTCCTTACGTGCTCGATGGGGTTGGGGTCAGGAGATTTTGCCGGCCAGGGTAAGATATTTAATTGATGAGCATTGATAAACTCACTTATCACTCTGGCTGTATGAGGTCGTGCATTGTCATGCATGGAGATGAAGTTTCTCCCAAAATCGTTGGCAGCGTATGGCAACACGACAGGCTCAAGAAATAAATCACAATATTAATAATAATGATTCCTCTTTGAGAATGCTGAAAAAAGCAAGATCAGTTTCAGCCTAACTGAACTCCTCTGGTGCTGACCCCACCTTGATAGGGTGCACTTCCTGAACATGGTCCAACCGAATAAGATTTTCCTGTTCTCTCCATACCCTAATTCTTCTCGAATCCGGATGATTTCCAAAGCGTAACTCATTTGTGAAGAGAACATTGGCCTATTGTTTATTCGACCACTGAACATGGTTTTGAGCCCACAAATATCGTGCCTCTCGATTTGCTCTCGTTAAAGGTTGAGATCTCTAGGGGCGTCTGCTTTTTAAGTTGACCTCTCTTAATCGCGAACAGTGTCAGGACTAATGGTTACATTATGTGTTTTTTGGAGAATTAAACTAAGCTCTGGTGCTGAGTCCGGTCGGCGTCGAACTATTTAAATAATTGCCAAAAATGATGTTTGGGAATTTGAAAACATGCGATGTCGCCCTGTATGCCTTTCAGCAACATCGCTACTTTCACGGTAGCGTGTACTTAATTGCGATATTACACTTTGCGCGTTTTCGATTTGGCGCATTCCAGGTTCGGGCATACCCATGGCCCTTTGCATTTCGTCTCTGTTAAGATGTCTACGCTCCATAATGTCGTTTAATATTAAACAGGGATATTTGAATGAATTCTGGTCAGTTATCAAAAACGCAAGCGGAGTACAGGTTGTTTCGAAAAATTGATTACTTGGTACTTTTGCCATTTAGCGAAGCGCAGCAACTTTAG